TGAGGACCAACGGCATGGCCGTGAACACCATCGAAAGCACTGAGGCTGACTATGAAGCTCTCGGGAGGAAGCTGAAGGGAACGGGGGGCACAGGTGGTGTTCTCTTCAATCCTTCCTGTCATAGGAAGGGGAATATGATGGGAGCAGACGATAATGGAGGTGAGCCGGCAGAAGCAATTTGGATTCTGGGACCATGGGCTAGGTTTTCTGGCTGACAACCCACTAGCACGCGATGGAGTTCACCTGTCAAGGTCAGGGAAGGATGTGTCTGGCAGAAACCTGGAGAGATTCATCGAGAGAGCTTTAAACTGACACCACAAGGGGAAGAGAAGACGACCAGCACAGGGATTTAAATGAAGGCGAGCAAACAACAGAGGCCCACCTGGGAGGGCCGGGCCTAATGGAGCCGTAGGTGCGGGGCTTCAGGTGTCTGAGCACCAATGCTCAAAGCCTGGGCAATAAGAAGGAAGAGCTTGAGCCTCTAATGCAGATGGAGGGATATGATTTAGGAGGCATTACGGAGACTTGGTGGGATGGTTCCCAGGAGTGGCATGTAGTAATGGATGGATACGAGTTGTTCAAGGAGAACCGAAAGGGTCGAAGAGGAGGCAGAGAGGCAGTGTATGCGAGGAGGGGGTTTGCTTGTCAGGGAATTCTGGAGGAGGGGGGCAACAGCCCAGTGGAAAGTATCTGGGTGCGGATAAGGGAAGGAAGGACAAACAGTATTGTGGCTGGAGTCTGCTACAGACCTCCAGACCAGGATGAGGAGGTGGATGCTGCCCTCCTTGAACAGCTTGACAGGGGAGCCAAACAACATGACCTGGTAGTTATGGGTGACTTCAACTCCCCTGTCGTGTGCTGGGAGACAGACTCTGCAAAGGGTCCACACTTACACACATTCCTGACCTGTCTGGCTCACAGCTTCCTTCATCAAATGGTGGAGGAAGCTACGAGGGGCTCAGCCATACTTGACTTAATATTGACCAACCGGCAAGAGACGGTAGGTGGGGTGAAGGTGGGGGGGGACCTTAGGGGGAAGTGACCATGTCCTCCTAGAATTCCTTTTGCTGTGGGGGACCAAGGAAGTTTGTAGCCACACGTGTATGTTAGATTTCTGTAGGGCAGATTTTAATAAACTCAGAGGCATGATGAGAATTGTGATCAGTTTTGGGCACCACAATTTAAGAAGGATGTGGTGGCTCAAGTGGTTAAGACGCTGAACTGCAGGGTGTGGAAGGTCAGTAGTTCAGCGGTTCAAGACCCGGGTGCCGCAAGACAGGGTGAGCTCCTGTCTCTAGTTCCAGCTCCTGCCAACCTAGCAGTTTGAAAGCAAGAAATTGCAAG